CGGTTGATAAATTATAAGTCTTTGTTATTATTAAAAGTAAAAAGCTAGATCTTTATTTCACTGATTTTGAAAGAAATTTTTGATCTTATTAGTAATCCATTTGATAACAATAAATAGTTATACTTAATTAAAAAAAGGAAACCCTCAATTATGATTTTTTTTAACATAAATCTTCGTAACAACAGACGTCACAAATATTATTTTAATATAATTTTAATACAAATCATCGAAATAAAAGGCATTGCAGCAGCTTTTTTTTTTTTTTAATGACTCTCCAAATTCTAAAACAAACATTGACTATAATACAACTTGATTGCTATAAAGAATATATTGAAATCTATATATATGGAATTACTCCCTCTATATTTCGTCTTGATAACTTTTTTTTTTTTTTGCTTGAACTGCATCCGAAATATCTTGTTAATTAACTTCCTTATTGATATGTTCTCTTGCCTGTTATCATCCACTAGGGCCACTGCCACTATGATAAACCCTCTTTTTTGAAGAAAAAAACAATGAAGATCAGAAGAGAAAGGGTTATAAATTATTTTATGGATGTCAGTACATCATTCCACCGATTTGGTTCCACACAGTTCAATTATGATCCACAACCCCTGATACTTTTTTTTATTACACTATATCACAATTTTCGTTTTAAGATTCAAGGTAAGCGTTTTTTTATTCAATTTTTAGGTATTTTGAGAATAATTTATTTTCATATAATATTAAGAGTGCATCACTATGTTAACATAGTGCATTCAACACATTTCCCACGTGATGGTCTAAATTTAAATCTTAAACATAATTCATAAGACAATATATCCTTAACAGTAGATACATTATACATAATAGTTATTGTGTACATGTATATATATATGAAAAAATTGTTTATCAATCAAATTTGAAAAATTAGGTAAAAAACACTTTAAAATTATATTATTTCAATGAACTCTTAGTAAAAAAGGATTCAAACAACATATTTTTAAATGCATGAATGAGAGTTTTTTATGGTTTTTTTTATTGAAAATATTTAATTTTTTTGGTTTACTTTTTAAATTAGAGATTCAATTAATAAATACTAATATCATATGAATTAAAATCCACTTATACATAAGTTTTACACAACATATTTATACAAAAATTTAATCATTCATCTTTTTACTTTCACTAGTTGAGATTTATTCATTTTTTATTATATTTATTAAAAATAATTATATTTTTTAATCTAAAAATCTTAATAAATCTCAACAATTGAAAGTAAAGAGATGAATAATCAAGATTTTATATAAGTATAGTGTGTAAGATTTGTATATAAATAGATTTTAACTCAATATCATATTACATATATTATCATTTTTAATATAAAAAACTAATTATAGCAAATGTGGGGATGTGGATATGTTCACACATTAAAGTGGTAGAGCCAAACAAATTTTTAAATTGTTTTTAAAGTACTAAGTATGTGTGGTTTGGATGTTAAAAATAGTTAATAATTATAATTGTTAGGTGGTAGAAAACAACATAGTTAATATTTATTACTTAACAAATTAAAATCAATATATAAATTGATATTTTATGGTAATTAACTTTTTACAAAAGAAAAATAGAATAATGCTTATTAGACTCAAATCCCATAAAAAAAATTGAAGTTCAAAGTTCAAACTTCAAAAATATCATCCTTCAATAAATATTTTTAAAAATCAATAGTTAGATTTAATTTTCTATTCATGTAAATCGTGTATGTAAATTTTCAGATTGATTAAATACATATAATTAGTTTATTGATATAAAAAATTTATCACCATTAAATATTTTAAAAAATAAAAGTTTTTTAATTGAATGATTATATATATTACATCAATTTGAAAATTAATGTGCATGATCTATATCAATATAACATCAAATCTAACCATTCGTTGTTGAAAATATTCATTACAGAGTAGTGTTTTTAAAGTTAAAACTATAATTTTTTTTAAAAGAATTGAAATTAATATTCACTACTCTAAAAAAAATTATCAATATTTATGTGTTTAACAATTTAGTGTGTGCTGTAAGCCTGTAACCACAACCAATGTGGGTTGTTGCCACAGCAAGTCTGATTTTTGGTAATTTTTTTAAAGCTAAATTTAATAAATTGTTTTTAACTATGTAATTTTTACTAATTTTGTCTAAAATATTTATTTTCTCCCAAAATAGTTTATTAACTTTTAAAAAATCATATCAAGTTAGTCTACCCCAACTATTCCCATTAGTTAGAAGGATGGAAATCCTTATTAGGGCTTATGTGTTGCCACACTATCTGCCACATAAACATCAAATTGCCAAATAAGAGAGGAAAAACTCTCGCCTCTTTGGTTTCACTCATCAAATTACTAATTACTTCAATGTTAGATTTTATTTTGGTTAGTTTTTTATTTTAATCAGAAAGTTTTATCTGATTTGGTTTAAATGATTTTGTTTTAATTAGATAGAATATAAATAATTTGTTTTAATATGAGTACATACTAATTAATTTTTAATTAAATTGAAAAATTGTTACATAAAATTTTAAGAGGCAGGAGTTTTCCCTCTTTAATTTTGGCCATTTGATATTTACATGACAGATGATGTAGCGTTAAGTTAGCGCTGATCAGGATTTCCTCCTCCTAAATTAATGGGCTAATTAATGGGAATAGCTTGGGTAGACTGACTTAATTTAATTTTAAAAGTCAATAGACTATTCTAGAAAAAAATAAACATTCTGAACAAAATTAATAAAAAGTACATAATTAGAAGACAGTTTATTAAATTAAGCCTTTTTTTTTTTAATGATGGTCCTTACCAACCGCACCCGACTTACCATCCATAATTCTATTATAAGTTTCTTTTTTATTTTTTATTTTTTGGTAGAACCATTATAAGTTTCTTACTAATTAGCATTAGATTTCACTCCTTACCATAAAATATATATATTTATATAAAAGTATATATCAATTGTGATTTTAATTTTAAAAGACATTATTTTATTTAATTAAAATTGAATTTAAAATTTAAAAATCTATCTTATTAAATGTTAACACTTAAATTTAAAAACTAATTATATTACAATGTATAATTAGTTTTCAAATCTATGGATCAATATTATTAGGTTAAATCCTCAATTTGGTCTTTTAACTATTGTATAGACTCTCGAGTTGGTCTCTAAATTAAAAATATCCTTGATTTGGTTCCTAAAGTTCTTAAATTTGGCCTCAAATTGGTCATTTTATATAAAAATAACTGACGTATTTCATTATTAACATGATACATGATCATTAAGTAACGATTTTTTATTGCTAAGTAATGGACACCTTAGTTATTTTTTAATTGAAGGACCAACTTAGGGCAAAATTTGAAAACTTTAGGGACTAAATCAAAAGTTTTTTAATTTAGGAACCAATTCAGGGGTTAATATAATAGTTAAGAGACTAAATTGGGGGTTTAACCATATTATTAAGGTAAGTTTCTAAATTTTGAATTAAATTTTTATTTTCAAATATGGAAATTAATATTTAATAAGGCGAGTTTTTAAATTTTGAATTGAATTTTAATTAAATAAAATAATGTATTTAAGTTTAAAACTATAAAATTTTCTTTAAAATCAAAACTATTGCGTACTATCTTTATACATATATAGTTATATAAACTTATTTTATTTAAATTTAATAGTTCTAGTTTAATTTTTAAAAAATTTTGAAATATAAATTTTATATACAATTTTAATAATTTATATAAATATAATTAAAAATTTATCTATATATGTAATTTTTGTTGAATATTTTTATTTGATTAAAAAAGTTTTTAATTATTATTTATATAATATATTAAATTTTTATCTAAAATTTATATTAAAAAATTAAAAAGTTAATCTAAATTTGAACAGAAGAGTGTTAGATTTCACTCCAATTCATTTAAGGTACTTATTTTCCGGATATTTTGGCTAAAAAATATACCTCTTTTCCATTAGGAGTTCTAATGTGGTTAAAATGTCAGTTGGTTTCTCAATTTTTAAATTTATATTAAATTTACTCCTTAAGTTCAAAAAATATTAAATTTTTTTAAACTTTAATTTTTAATATAAAAAAGTCCTTCAATTAATAAAAATACCATATAACTCATTATTTTACTATAAAATTAATTTTTTTTAAATACTAATGACATGTAAAATCAAACAGTCATATTTTACTATCGTGACATATTTTTATTTATATATCATATTAATATATAATTAAAGTTGAAAGATCAAATTAAGATTTGTAATAAAAATTTAAGGACTAAGTTAGTATTTATTTTAAAAGATTAAGAACTAAGTTAGTGTTATCTCTAAAGTTTGAGGATTATTTTGGTATTAAAAGTTAAAGTTTAAGGATAGTTTTAATATTTTTCTAAGTTGAGAGACAATTTTAATAGAAACCTAAAAGTTAAGGGACCCAATTAGTATTTTCAACTTCTAATTTTCAACGTCAACCCGCACTATGAAAGCGGGGCCGTACCCATCCTCCTTTCCTCACGTCTCTGTTTTCTTCACCTTATTGATAACCCAAAAACAGGGTCCTTTGCTTTGTCTCTTGCGTTCGACGAAATGGCTCTGCTTTCTGATCTCATTAACTTGAACCTTTCGGAATCCACCGAGAAAATCATTGCCGAGTACATATGGTGAGTGTTCCCAAGTCCTGCATTAACGCCTACGTTCATCTTTCTGCATTATTGTTTATATCCTAGCGGTTTTGTCTCCCCCTGTTTTTATGGAAAAGCTTATTGTTAATTCGTTAATGGGCTTTGTCTCTGGTGTTATCTGGAGTTTTTGTTGCTTTATTTGATGAGTTTTTCTGTGTTTTGATCAAAAGTTTGACTCTTGATGTGTACGTGATCTGATCATGGAACAGGGTTGGTGGATCTGGCATGGACATTAGAAGCAAAGCCAAGGTAAGCTATTTTCTGGGGTTGTTTTCTTCTTCAATCTTTTCCCTGATCTTCTTCTTCTCCACGTCTTTTGCTAACTTCATTGGTGGGTTTTTCCAGACTCTTCCTGGGCCGGTAAGTGATTCTCAGAAGCTGCCAAAATGGAACTATGACGGTTCAAGCACTGGTCAAGCGCCTGGGGAAGACAGTGAAGTTATCTTATAGTACGCTCACACTTCCTGTCTCTTTCTGTTATTTCCTTCTTCCTTTTCATAGCATTTGTTGCTTGATGAGTGGATTTGCCTTTTGTTTTCTTTTCTGGTTCCTTTTTAAAGCCCCCAAGCAATATTCAAGGACCCATTTAGGAGGGGAAACAATATCCTGGTATGTATCACTTTCATATGATTTTTAATTTTGTTACTGCCCAATAAAGAAAAATCCTTAATAATTTATGCTAGATATGCCTTTTTAGTTCATTAACTAATTTGAATCTGGAATCTGTAGGTGATGTGTGATGCTTACACTCCAGCTGGGGAACCAATTCCAACTAATAAGAGACATAATGCAGCAAAAATATTCAGTCACCCTGATGTTGTGGCTGAAGAGCCTTGGTGTGTTCTAGTTTTGAGATTCAAGAATATTCCCCTTTTTTAAGTTCATTTCCTTTACTGGCTAATTTAATAGATTATCATATAATCATTTTTATTTAATTTAAACAACAGGTATGGTATAGAGCAGGAATACACCTTGCTGCAAAAGGACACAAAATGGCCTCTTGGATGGCCCCTTGGTGGCTATCCTGGACCCCAGGTAACAAAACTTTCCCCTAGTTTTTTTTTTTTTTTAATGGAAAAACTGTTGTACAATCTGAATTGCTTTAGACTGCACAACAGTGACCATTGGATGAGGAGCAAGCCCCTTAATATTGGGGGCCCTTCCCCATCCAAACCATCCTTGTTTTGTTGTATGGTGCAAGTGACTTATTTTAAAATACAAATAAAGTACATAGTTTGTTGTTTATCCACTAATCTCATATTCTCTCTACATTAATAGCTCAGTATAGACTGTAGATTAATAACTATCTGTTATCATGGCATATCTGGCTAGGTTGACTCGATGACAGTGACAAGAAACTTCAGGGTGCAATTGCATCTAACATGACCTCAAACATACATTTCCTTTAGATCAATTGAAGACATTGCTTTCATCTTTAAACTTAATGTTTTTATGAACTTATTGTGAATAATGCTTGATTCTTTCTACAATTATGTACTTTTCTTTGTTCCTTTTCCTTATACATGAGTAATTGACTACTGAGTTTGTTCATACGTGAATGCGTAACTGGAAAATTTTGTTCTGTTCAACAGGGACCATACTACTGTGGTATTGGTGCTGATAAGGCCTTTGGCCGAGATATTGTGGATTCCCACTATAAAGCCTGTCTTTATGCTGGAATCAATATTAGTGGTATCAATGGAGAGGTGATGCCTGGACAGGTATGTTTATCCATACTTTTTGGCTTTTGTCATTTCTTGTTCCTTCTGCGAATAATACAGTTGCTTGTTATGTTTGTATGCTATTTAGCTTTTCCTAAATTGATTCACCTCTTCCATAGTGGGAATTCCAAGTTGGCCCTGCTGTTGGCATCAGTGCTGGGGATGAGTTATGGGTAGCTCGCTACCTTCTGGAGGTAACATAATCTAGTTACTAAAATTTCAAATTTTGGTGGCTTGTACCATAATTATCTGTTAAACTGATTGGTGTGAGTTTTCTGTATCCGCAGAGGATTACTGAGATTGCTGGGGTTGTTCTCTCATTTGACCCTAAACCAATCCAGGTTATATTTCATCCTTGAGCTCCCAATATGTTGATTCCTAGTTACATAATCCGTGATTCTCTTTTGAATTAAACCTTTGTGTACTACCTTCACTTGATGTTTTGTCGTACGTACTAGGGTGACTGGAATGGAGCAGGTGCTCATACAAACTACAGGTAATACAATTCACTGTGATTGGACTGTTGGACTTCTGGCTACAAAACTTAAATAACAATAAGAACCCAGAAAGGGAATGAATTGGATCCCCTTTCGGATGACTACATTATTGATCACCTAGCTTGTTTTGATAATTTCAGCACCAAATCCATGAGAAAAGATGGTGGTTATGAAGTTATCAAGAAGGCGGTTGAAAAGCTTAAATTGAGGCATAAGGAACATATTGCTGCTTATGGGGAAGGAAACGAACGCCGCTTGACTGGAAGGCATGAAACAGCTGACATCAACACCTTCTCATGGGTATTAATCTCTTCTTTTGTGTATTTTTTTCATATTAGTTACCAAACATTATATGTGAATTCACTATTGCCCATAAAATGCAACGATTAAGCATATTTCAAAAATCTACCTCTTTGATGAATATCTGTCTGGTTAACAGGGGGTGGCAAACCGTGGTGCATCTGTTAGAGTTGGGAGAGACACAGAGAAGCATGGGAAAGGGTACTTCGAGGACAGGAGGCCTGCTTCCAACATGGATCCCTACGTTGTCACCTCCATGATTGCAGAGACAACCATCCTGTGGAAACCTTGAGAGGCAGCCATTCCTTCCTCATAAACTCATAAAACTATGATTGTGGGTTTAGCATCAATAATTTGTTCCTCTGTTTTCATTGCTTTCCAATTGTGTTGTGTCTTTGTTGCTGTGGATTTAGGTTAGGTGATGATATATGTACTGTGTTTGCATTGCAATCCTCACTCCTATAGTGGGATTAATTAATAATAACCTCATTCCTTAAAATGGGCATATTACCATGCAACTGATGTTTCTATCTTCTGAATGGATACCCCTCTAGTTTCAATGATTTCTATCAGCTTGAGTTAAATTGCTTGTAACACACATCTTAATTTGATTGATCAGTCCTCATTTTTTTATTTTTATTGTCCAAGTGTATTTTAAATTTACAAATGTGTTGCATACTTTAGATTATATTAAATTATACAATATAATATTGAGAGTTGTTCTTTTAATGATAGTCTAAATTATAAAATGAAAAATGTCTAAGTTTATTTTTTTTTAAATAAAAAATGTTATTTACCCAGTTTAATTGTCAATATACTACTACATCAAAAAGAGGCAACTCCTACTAATCCTCAAAAGACAAGGGAAGTTTACCTCTTTTTGATTATGCCAAAAGTAGGCAACGGAATTCCCTTCTGACCTAAATTGTTGATTGGAATTCAAAGCAATGATTCAAACTTCACCTAAAACATGTCGTGTACAACATGTTCAGCTTTACTTGTACCGCAAACAAATCCACTTCGTATTTTTTTTTTTTTTAAGATATTCAAGTCCAATACAATTATTTTTTTGGTTAAATCTGCAATTGAGTCCTTAATTTAGTTTCTGAACTAAAAAAATTTTTAATTTAGTCTATATTGTTTACTAATTTGATTTCAAACTAATTTTTTCATATAAAAGCAGATGATGTGTTTTATTATCAATGTAACATATAACAGTTAAGTAATAATTTTTTATCATTAAATAACAGACACGTAATTTTTTTTAACGAAAGGACTAATTTAGGGTCAAATTGATAAATAATAAGTACGAAATCAATAATTTATACAATAATTGAGAGAACAAATTATGGGTTTAATCTTTTTTTTTTTTCATGTTTCAAGTCCACTACAATTAAACCGCTCATCTCCAAGATATTTTAATTTTATCATGTACTAGAGTAGTATTAAAAAAATTAATTTTCTTAATTAAATTAAATTAATATAAAAATATACTTTTAAGATTAATTATAAACAAATTAATATTAAAGTACGTCAAAATTAATTTAAAAACATTTCCCCATAAATATAAAATGAAAAAAATCATGCCCTGCAAGTGAAATGGATTATTTTTAGATTTTGTTGGCGACAGAGAATCCCCCCAAACGACGTTGGAAGAGCAAAGTGGAAGCATGTGATAATGAATCGCATTATGCATTGAAGAGTGAATTCCGACGTGTTGAGTGGTCACCGGTCAGTGTTAGCGCATGCACCGCTCATCAATGTTGTCTCACTTGCCCACCGCCCGAGTTACACTGTTAATTAAAAAAATGTTAGTCCAACTCCTAATAATTTTATACAACTACCTCTGTTTCATGATAATTATTATTTTTATTTAAAATTTATTACAAAATAATTATTATTTTTATATTATAAAAAATAAATATTTTTTAAATGTTATCATTATTTCTTCAATTTAATTATTATCATATCATAAGAATAATGATAAATGAGATCAAAATTTGAAAATAAAATTTAAGATTAATGATGTGATATAAATTATCTTATTTAAAATATTAAAAAGTAAATATTATATTATTTAATAATTATTTTTTTAAACCTATAATATCATATATATTAACTAATTTAAAACGTGGTATACGCTATGCTATTAGTTTTAAATTTTCATTTCAAATTTTTATCTTCCTATCATTATTATATCATAAGTGGTCTTTTTATCTTTATACTTCTATTTAAGACAATATAAATTTAAACAAATTATAAAAAAAAAGAGACTAATCTTAAAAACTAGACTGGAAGTGACTTAGACTAACGGGTTTAGTTAAGGTTAGGTCATTTTCACAATTTAAATTGTTAAGGTTACAAAAAAAAAAAGAAAAAAGAAGAAGTTAAAGTTATTAATTTATCTTCAATTTTATTAGTTTATAACTTTTTTTAAAACAGTTAGTATGATAAATATCTATTTATAAACTAATTTCAATATGTTATTCACTCTAACTTAAAATAATTGTTTTTTTTTCAAATTTAAAGATTGAGAGATAATTTTTGTATTTACCTATATTATCTTTAGAAAAATCTAAAAGATAAAATAAAATTTTTTGTAATAAGATAATTAATTAAAATAAATGATAATGATAGGGTTAAAGTAAAAAAAAATTATCTATCTTAAAAAATTAAAAAAAAACAATTAATTTGAAACAAACTCAAAGTAAAAAATATGATAGTTGTAATAGAATAGAGACAATAAATAATAAACATTAACTATTTTATCACTTATCAATTATTTTCAACAATTAAATTAAAATAAAATTTTAATAATTATTAGTGATTTTAATAAATTGAATAGTAATCATAACCATTGCTGTTAAGTGGTTTACCATTCTCTTAGTTTGCAAAGTTAATTTATAAAAATCAAAACTAAAACAAAAAACCATAATCATATTACTCCCTTAATTCCAGAATAATAAACATATTTTTTATTTATAATTTGTT